TTTTGGCTGTGCTCAGAGACGAGGGTGTGCCCTCCGGAGGTTCAAGGCCGCTCTAAGGACCTGGCGCTCAGCCCTGACGGGACCGGGAGCTGCTGCCCCAGAAGCGCAGCCTCACTGGGAGCTCAACTTCTGTCCGTTCTTTTCGCCCGAGGGCACATGTGCTCACCCAAGAGGCAGGCAGAGAGGAGAGGGAGACGGGTACGGTCACACGGCTGTCTCTCCTCCATTTCTCCCTCCTGCTGGGATCTGGGGCGTGCACACACATGTGCCTGGTGGTCTCTCAAGCTGCCGGGGCCAGGATTCAAACACGGTTGGCTGAGTGATCTGACTCCTTAGCCACCAGCCCATGCGTCTGGCCCAGAATCTCGACCCCTTGAACTCTCAGTCCTCAGTCATGTCCAGCCCTCCGTGACCAGGCCTCCTGCACCCTCCGCTCTCTTAGGGACCTTCAAACCCAGCCAGTTTCCACGATCAACTGACGCCCCTTCTGATATCCTAGCCACGTAAACCACCTTCCCGGACATGTCCCGACCTCCAGGTGTCCAGTGGAGCCAACAGGGCCAGGCCAGGGCCCGAACTGGCCGACACTGACCTCCCAGCTCGGGGGTCGCCGTAACCTCTGACCTCGGAGAGTTGCACAGGGCTCTCGGAGGGTGCTGGGTCCCACCAGCTGTCTTCCTCCCAGTGGAGTGAGTAGGTCTGATCGGACCAATCCTCGAACACTTCAGTCCCTCTCCTAGGGATCCCTCTCGGGTCCCCAGGCAGGTTGGGCATTTTGTTTTCACCCAGGGTGGCCACGTTTTGGTCCACATTCCAGCAACTCCGGGCGAGCTGCCCGTCTGAGCCTTTCCAGCCCCGCGGGCCATGTCTGCTCCCTGAGGCCTGCTTCAGTGAGCCGAGCTGAGCTGCCCGGAGCCCACCTTCCAAACCACTCCATGTGTTCTCCAGATTTCTGTCTCCCCGCCCGGAACCACCATGCTGTTCTGTTGCAGTGTTACACTTTGCATCTCGCCCCCAGGTCTTGCTGGGTTCGAGTCCCAGATGAGGAACACTAAGAGGGGCCCTGAGGGGATCGGCACAGGCTGCTGCCCTGGGAACACCCTGGGCCCCCCAGGTAGAGGGGAGCTGGCCTGCTCAGGCAGCTTGTGGCTACAACGGCAGGACGCCAGGGCTCGCGGTCCCCAGCTCCTTAGGGACCTGTTGTCCCCATCCCCATTTTCAGGTTCCTGTTCTTTCCTGGTCCACACCCACTCTAGGCCGTCGGGCTGGGTTCTGCTGTGCAGGGGGAGGCCTGGCTGGTTCAGGGGCTGAGCTCCAGTTTCCCCGTGTCGGCGCCTGCAGGCCACCGTGCATGGAAAACACGGGGGGGACATGTGGCCTGGTTGCTGTGACAGGCCCGGCCGTACCTATCTCCCCTTACGCCTTTGCGGTCCCCGCCTGGAGCTTGCCTGCAGTCGGCCCTCCGGCCCTTGCAGCTCGCTCTCTGGGGTGGTGCTTCCTCCCCCATGCTCAGTCTGGCCTAGCTCTGCGCAGGCTCCGTGAGCCCTTTCTGCCCCAGCGGCCTTCTGCTCACTCTTCAGCTGGTTGCTCGCCTCCCTGACCTCGCCTCAGCCCTGGGGGTCAGGACTCCTGGTCCTCAGCAGGTGCCAGGTTTAGGGTCCCTGCGGTGCCAGACTCAGGTCACCCATCCAACAGCGAGAGGTGAGAGCGGGGTCCCAATGCGGGCTGTGACCAAATGCGGGCTGGGCGTGTCTCCCTGCACAGTCCCTGCCTCGAGCCTGCAGGTCTGCATCAGAAAATGTATTTATTAGAGGCACCAGCAGTTAGCATAATGGCTGTGTCGTTGGACTCCCACGTAGTCAACCATGGTTTGAGTCTCGGACCCGGCAGCTTAAACTCACCCTGGGCGTGTGTGTGTGCCCAAGATCCCGAGAGGAGAATGGAGGAGAAGGGATTGCAGCGTGGCCATCCTCCCTGGGGGGCGATTTCTCACTTCCTGTCTCCTTGTCTCTCTGGTGAGCACACGCTCCCCATACCAAAAACCTCTCCCCCCCAAAAAAAGAAGAAGAAAAAAAAAAAAAGAAAATGCATTTATTAGAAAATAACCTCGGGCTGGGAACACTGCCAGGCCCGAGCCAATGTCTTCTAGCCCGACCGGATGCCCAGAGCCAAAGGAAGAGTGGCCCTCAGGAGGCGAGTCAGGGCTCTGCGGCCCTCGACGGGACCTGCTGGTCCTCGGGGGGCCTGTCAAGGCAGTTTCCACGTGACTGAGTCAAGGCCAAGTTCGGTGCCCCCTCCCGGCCCTCGCGTCTTCCGAGCAGGAGCCGGCGAGTCACGTGCGTGAGTAGATCGACCAGACGCTGATGCGCTGGTCCCCGGACCCCGCTGCCAGCAGGCCGTTGGTGGCAAAGGCCACACAGTGGATGGTGGCGCTGTGGAAGGCCAGCACGGCCAGTGGCTTCATTGTCCGCCAGTGAAACACCCGGACCTGGTGGTCCCAGCCCGCTGTGGCCAGGATCTTGCGGTCTGCTCGGATGGTGACGTCAGAGATGCCGGGATTGGTGAGCTGGTGAGTTCCACGCACCTGCAGGAGACAGCAGTGGGAAGGTGTGTCAGGGGCTCCTGAGGCCTGTCACAGGGGCATTCACCATAGGTGTCCCCAGCCCCACAGCTGGAACAAGGAGAGTCACGTGCCCATGATGGCGGCATGTCACCACCCGCTCTGGGCCGGCCTTGCTCCTCCTGAGCTCCTTTGCCTTTGGCTGATCCTTTCGACATACAGAAGAGCCTCAGTGGGGCTGGGGCCACGGACCCTGTACCTCGTGAGAGGCAGCATTTCCAGCTGACAGCAGGCCAAGGTCAGCGTCAGTCCTGAGGAAACCTTGGCCACCACCCGAAGCTGGAGGAAGAGAAACGCAAACTCCACCTTCAGCAGAACTAAGTGGAACTGGGAAATGCAAAAGAGTCACCATGAGTGAGAACCAGCGGGCTGAGGGCAGGACGCAGGGGAAGGCCTGAAGGTGGCAGAAGAAGCCAAGCAGCCTTCCTTCCTTCCCCCCGTGGGCCGAGCTGCAGTCCCTGGCCTGGCTCTGGGAAGGGTGCAGGGTGCTGGCTTATGGCAAGGAACAGCACTGTCAGGAACTGACCTCCCTGTGGGGGCCGAGTGTGCCCACGCCCAGTGCGGGGCAAGCAGAAAGCCTCTTGCCCTGACCCCGGACTGACAGCTGCCTCCTGGGCTGTTCATGGTCATGCAGTTCTTAACCCCGAGGACTGTGCGCTGCACTGCAGGGCATGTGGCATTTCTGACCCCAGGCTGAGTGACAGGCACTTGAGAAGTGCTCAGCTCTGCAAAGACAACACAGCCAAGAGGAGGAAAGAAACGGGAAAACCCAAATGGTAATGTCCTTCAGAAGCCAGTGAATACTGTCACCAGCCACTGTTCCCCATAAATGAACAATAAACGAAAGAAAACTTACTGAATTAAGTTACCACCGTAAAACAAGAACCCAGCCCAGCTAGGGTGGTGCACAGGTGGTGCCACTGCTTGGGAGACCGGAAGTCACGTGGAAAGCCCAGGTTATGGGGCCGGCAGGTGGCATGGTGGTTAAAGGTGCTGGATTCCCACATGGCTGACCATGGTTTGGATCCCAGACCTGGCAGCTTGCTTTCTCGCTTTCCCTTTCTCTCTCTCTCTCTCCCCGTCTCTGTTTGGTAAAATTTAAAACAATAATAACAAATGGAAATAAATAAATCTTAAAAAAAAAAAATTAAGCCCAGGTTATGTTCCGGGCCAACTTGAACACAATGAGCACTGCCGTGCCACTTGACATCCTAACCAACTGGGAGCCTGGGGCAGGAGGGATGGGGCACCAGGAGACACTCTAAGTTTCCTACCGCAGGCCAGTGGCTGGTGTAACAGTTAAGGCATCTAGATACCGCACAACTGACTGTGAAGTTTGAGTCCCAGACCCAGTGGCTCAAAAATCATGCTGGGGGGCCAGCAGGTGGCGTGGTGGTTAAGGGCACTGGACTCCCACATGGCAGACCGCAGTTCGAATCCCTGGACCTGACGGCTCGCTCTCTCTCTCTCTCTCTCTCATTCTGTTCCTCTCTGGTCAAATACAATAAATAAAAAATTGTATATATGTGTATGTGTGTGTGTGTGTGTGTGTGTGTGTGTGTGTGTGTAATAAAATCATGCCAGGAGCAGGTCCATGCACGCCCCGAATCCTAGGAGGAGAATGGAGAAAGGACTGTGGCATGGCCATCCCCCCGTAAGAGGTGATTTCTCACCCCTCCCCCATTCTTTCTGTTTCTTTTCACTGAGCACATGCACCTTATAGCAAAAAAAGTACTAAAATAAAAAAGTTTCCTCAGGCCCTGCCTAGGAGGAGAGTCCACAGCAGGCAGCACTGCAGTGCTGGAAGACGCCTGACCAAGCCTGAGTATGGCTCATGGCCCAATCTGGCCTGAAATGTGCCAGGCATGTGTGTGTCCATGATCCTGGTGAGCTACAGGGGTGGCAGAGGCTTGTGGCATGACCAGACCCTGTCAAAGGGCACTGTCTTATTTTTTTCTCTCTTTTATGTGCAAAAGAATGCATGCACTATATGAAATTAAAAAAAATTCTAACTCTGCCTATTTCCGTCTTTCTCGCTCATAAAAGAAAATGAAATAAAGAAAAAAAAAAAAGGAAAGAAAAAGAAAAAAGAGGGACCCGCAGTTAGCATAATGGCTGTGTTGCTGGACTCCCATGTAGTCGACCGCGGTTCAAGTCCTGGACCCGGTGGCTTAAAACTCACGCCAGGTGCGTGTGCGTGCGTGCCCAAGATCCCGAGAGAATGGAGGAGAAGGGATTGCGGCGTGGCCATCCCCCCTAGGAGTGATTTCTCGCTTTCTGTCTCTCTGTCTGTCTGGCGAGCGCACACGCCCTATAGCATAAACCTCTCCAAAAAAAGAAAAAAGAAAAAGAATAAAAAAAGAAACCCAAGCACCTAAAGCAGCTATTGTCAAGAAGGAAACGTGACCTGGCAGACCTCAGGAAGGAAGTGGACAGAAACTCAAAGGTGGCAGAAGAAGCCACAGAAGAAACTCAAGTAAAGAAGGGCCAACCAATGGTATGGTGGACCCTACATGGCCAACCACTGGTTCAAGTCTGGGACCTGGCAGTTTTGGAAAACTTGTCAGGTTGGGGCCAGCAGGTGGTGTGGTGGTTAAGAGTGCTGGATTCCCACATGGCTGACCACAGTTTCAGTTCTGGGCTGGGTGATTTGCTTTCTCACTTTCCATTTCTCTCGCTCTCTCTCTGTCCCTTTCTGGTCAAATTTAAATAAATAGATAGATAGATAGAAAGAAAGAAAATTTGTCAGGTACATGTATGTGCATGTCAAAAATCTCCAAAGGAGGAAGAAATGGAGGAAAAGGGATTGTGGTGTGACCATCCCCCATGGGAGATGCTTTCTTGTTTTCTCTCTTGTTTTTCTCTGTGTCTCTCCAGTGAGCACATATGCCCTCTGGCAAATCTTAAATAAAGTTTAAAGAGAAATGAAAGGGAATCAGAAATGGCAAAAGAAATCTCCTAATAAGAGAGTAAGGGACAGAGAGGAATGATAAAAAGTGAGTAACGTAAAAGGGAAATAGAGAGGAAAATGGACTGGAGAGAAAATGACTGAGATGGAAGACAGAGGGCTCTACTTTCACTGACTTAGAAGACAATTTGAATTGCTAGAACTTAAAATCTTTCTTAGTCCAAAGAAAGGCTAGAATGGTCAACATTAAACTCTAGGAAAATTATTGGATTTAATAGCTAAAAAGGTCCTTCAGTCAGTCAGGCAGAATGTCCCATGGCCACGTCTGCGCCAGCAGACAGTAGAATGGTGCCTACAAAAAACTGGGGAGGGAAGCGCAATCCCAAGAATTTTATACCCAGCCAAACTGTCGCTCAAGTATAAAAACAATGGACAAACATTTTTGAACATGTAAGAACTCAAAGAATATTGCTCCCATAAGCTCTTCTTGAAGAACTAGAAGATTAATGCCACTCTAATGGCAGATAACTAGAGAACTATAGCAAATGGTCTGGCAAAGAACACCGAATCTACTTACCTGCAGGATTAGGTCTAAAACAATATGGGGATTATGACTATAGAACCGGTTATGTAACTAACAGAAATAAGGGAGGGTAGGGAGACAGATGAGATGTTGGCTAAGTGGACTGGTTTGCTCCTCTTTTGTCATCGAGGGCCAAAGATACAGAGTAGAGCTCACATTTGAGAGATCATCTCACACCCCACCATAAGTGATAACAAAATTATTACCTTCTCTCCCACCTGATGATAGGTACCTTGGTTTCCTAGGATTTACCACTATAAGAGGGGACTTCAAAAAACTTGTGGATGGGAACCAGCAGTTAGCGTAATGGTTATGTCGCTGGACTCCCACATAGTCGACTGCGGTTCGCGTCCCGGACTCGGTGGCTTAAAACTCACACTGGGCGCGTGTGCGTGCTTGCTCAAGATCCCAAGAGGAGAATGGAGGAGAAGGGATTGCGGCGTGACCATCCCCCCTGGGGGGTGATTTCTCGCTTTCTGTCTCTATGTCTCTCTCTGTCTGGCGAGCGTACGCGCCCTATAGTGAAAAACCTCTCAAAAAAAAAACAAAAACAAAAACTTGTGGAAAAAATGGAATTAAACTATATGTTTATTATGCCACAAAATAATTTTAAAATTCATGCATGCTTTTTTCATAATATGCATTTTCCATGAACTTTTTGAAGGCCCCTCCTATATCTGCACGAAGTCATAAAATATGACTACACTCAACGGTTTTGTGATGGAAGTCCAAAGTTAAAGACACATCTACTATGTAACAGAGAGGTTCCAAAGGAACGATTGCAAAGATACACCGGGAAAATGCAAAAGTGAATGAGGAGTCCCATCTTAGTAGTGGGAAAAATTGAATTTGGAGCTAAAAGCATTAACTGAGAACCATAAACGATACTTAACAAAGATAAAGGGTTATGATTCCTAATGGAGAGCTCTGACTATCTATTTAGCAGATAAATAGGCTTATCATTCATAATGCAAGAGTCACGAGAAAGTGGCTACGGCAGAGTAACTGGTACCAGACTGGTCCTTTTGCTGTGAATGACACTAGAAATGGGCAAAATGCACAAGGCAGCTGTTTGCAGGCCTTGGTGACAGGCACAGAAGGGTGGCTGACTGTGTGAGCCTCCCAAATACCCCAGTACTCTCAGCCCAGGGACAATATCCTGGCCTTAAAGTCCAGGCAGAACACAGTGGTCACAGAACCCGGGACTGAAACCTGTGGGGGCAAGGGACCAGAACAGAGGGAACTTGGGGGTGCCTGGGGACTGCCAAAGATAATGTGTGGGTGCCTCATGAACCCCTGTGCAAAGATGGGCATGCCTGGGGCAGACTACACAGGATTTATCAGAGAGTGGCTACTGCAGGGAGAAGTGAAACAGGTGTGAGAGGTCAACAGCGGTTGGGGGGGGGGCAGTCAATCCAGATACAAATACTGCATGATAACCTAAGACCAGTGAGATGCCAGAATGGCCTCACT